ACTCTGTAAACCGCTTAGAGAGGGCCGAAAGCCCTATGAAGCGGTATATAAGTCTAACTGCTATTGCTATATAAATTTAAGAAATACATGCACTGTTAGACGTTCCTCTCCACAAACAGGCCTTTCACTCTTGAGAGTGACAGACGTCAGGCTCAGAGAGGAGAAGGTGGTGCAAGGAGACACCAGGAGTAGGAATGGGGAACTGGAGCTTTTCCGTACAATAAGTGATGCCAATGCCTGGAAGAAACCGCTTGTCCCTGGTCACCTCTGCCTGCCTCCATTGGTCCTTAGGACGTCCCCTCCTGACAGCTGTTCCATCTTTTCCTGACTTTCAGATACAACCCAGAAAATCTTGTCACTCTGCAGCACTACGTGGAGACCCAGGCCAAAGAGAACGCCTATGACTTGGAGGCCAATCTGGCTGTGCTCAAACTGTGAGTTGCGGATCTTTTGACGCTTCCACCCTCTACCAACGGAGCCCCAAAGGCCAGACCTGGGGATCCAGAAGCGGGATGGAGCCCATCTGCTGACTCGGTTGTTGGTCGTTGGCAAGAGGGTGAAAGGAGTTGTTGCTTTTTTTCCCATTGTTGTTGTTTACGTCTTTTATCCTGGCAAATGTCCTGGAGTCAATGAGAGTTGAGTTTGAGCAGCCACGTAACATTTCTTAAATAAATTCTAGAGGGAGAAATCCTGCAGTGGTTGCCCTGGAGCGGAAATGTTGGTTTTCCTGCACGATTCTTGCCGGGTTCTGATCTCGCCATCCTTTTCTCTCCTCTAGGTATCAGTTTAATCCTAACTTATTCCAAGTCTCAGTGACTGCCCAGATCCTCCTCAAGGCACTGACCAACCTTCCTCACACCGACTTCACACTCTGCAAGTGCATGATTGACCAGGCTCGCGTATCCTGTTTGTGCTCTAGGATAACTTCCCCCAGGTCCCTATTGGGACTTGAAGCCTCCCCACCAGGCACAGCTCACCAGGAAAAGGCCTAGATGGAGAACGAGGGCTTAGACCAGGAACGGGCAACTATGGTCCCTGTGGTGGCCCGGCAGGAGTCGGTAGAGCTGCCGCCAGACTCCGACAGTACGGGGGCTGGTGGGTCGGCCTTGGAGAGGGTGGAAGACCCTGGACAGGGTGTGAGGGCTCGGCCGGAGCTGTTAGAGCGGCTGCCAGATTCCGACAGTAGGGGGGCTGGTGGGTCGGCCTTGGAGAGGGTGGAGGACCCTGGACAGGGTGTTAGGGCTCGGCCGGAGCTGTTAGAGCTTCCGTCAAACTCCGACAGTAAGGGGGCTGGTGGGTCATCCTTAGGGTGGAGGACCCTGGACGGGGTGTCGACGCCGTGAAGGGTGGAAGGAGATGTGGCCACCAGATACCTGGGGAGTCTTGGCTCAAGCTGGCTGCGAGCCCAGAAATAAACGTAGATAAAGTCTCTGGCAAAAAGTTACACAGCAAAAGGAAAAAACAAAAAGCTCTTACAGCAAACCAG